GAGGTTGATCCAGCTTTCCTCTTTTGCAGAAATGTAGGGCTGGGAGAGGAATTTAATGCAGGCTCTCCAAATTGCCATCTTTACACACACACACACACACACACACCCCACTATGTTTGTACTCAGTAATACATAGAGATGCCTTTTTTTCATCCCAGACGAAGTGGTTTCCTTGCACACACTGCGCATGGGAGGAAATGGAGTGGAAACATGTGCACTTGCGCCTTCCCTGTTCCCTGCAGCTTGGTTTCCCTTCCCTGCTTGTTTTTCTGGCTCTGATGTGATGTAGATCATTGTAGACTATTGTAGGTGTAGACTCCTTGGGGCAGGAATCTGTCTCAGTTTGTAGTCCAGGGTGGCCAGAAGGCTACCTAAAAAGAGGGTGCTTCCAGATGCCATTTCTTTTATATCGAGGATTGCGTTGAACTTAGCAGTGACTGCAGAAATCACTGACTTGAACCTAGTGATAGCTGCTGAATTTGGTGATGCTGCAAAGGTTCTGCAAAATTTTGCTGGAGAGCAAGAAATTCTGATTTTTAAAAAAATTATTTCAATTTATTTTATTTTATTTATTCCAAGGATTTATATCCCACCTTTTCCCCACAATAATTTAAAAAGATAAGAACTAAAACATGTATTACAAAAATTAAAAAGTATTAAGTGTTATTAATATTAAAACATAAGTTAAAAACAGCATAGTTAAAACCAATAAAACCATTACAATGTTAAGACAGCACACCACACTATATACCGTAAGTAAAATTCATTCACCAAATGCTCAGTAGCTACTAGCTAAACAGGGTGTCCAGAGGTCCTGCTTTTCTAGGACATGGCCTACATTTCAACCTTCTGTCCAGGAGGAATTTCAAAGTGTCTTCCATTCTGAGTATGACCCAGAAGCATGAATTTTCTTTTACATTAGTCTTACATTTTGCAGTGCCTTGTCCTCCTTGGCAGTTATGATATCTGGTCACCCTGAACATGAGTCAACAGTGGGATGCAGCTAAAAAAAGCTAGGTATAAGATGGGTGACACCTGGCTTGACAACAGGACATGTAAAAGGGATGTGGGAGTCTTTTTAGTAGATGATGAGCTGACCATGAGCCAATGGTGTAATCCAGCAGCTAAAAACCCCAATATGAACCTAGTGAAGCTGCAGAATTTGGTGATGCTTCAAAGATACTGCCAAAAAAATCCTGAATTTTGATCAGTGGCTAGTAGCTAAACATGAGCTGGGTGACTGACATCCTCCTATTCCGAGATATGTTCTACATTTCAACCTTCTGTCCAGGAGGAATGTTAAAATGTCCTCCGTTTTGAGAATTACTAAGAAGCATCAATTTACATTAATGTTTACATTAGTGTGTTAAAGCATTTACATTAGTGTTTTATAGCTTTTATTTTATAATGTCCTACATTTTCCTGGGATGTTCTATGTTTTGCGGTGCCTTGTCCTCCTTGATGGTTAGGACGTGTGATGCAGCTAAAACAAGTCACATATAGGATGGGTGACACCTGGTTTGACAACAGTACATGTGAAAGGATGTGGTGGGAGTCTTAGGGTCGATACAGATGGCCCGTTTGGACAGCAGAGAGCCACCGTGGGGAGCAGCGGATTAGGGCCGCGGCAACCCAATGGCGCAGCCCCAATCCTCCCTTTTGCGGCTCCTTTTGGGGGCAGCAAAAGGCCACCCTAAGAGCCAGTGCTGCAGCTCTTCTGTGCCCTTTTGGTGCAGCGTGTGTATACACTGCGCCAGGAGGGTATCCTGACGCCACGCGCTGTGCGGACAGGCACACAGCATCAGGATGGCGTTAGGGTGGCTGGCGTGTGGCTGCCCCACCCCAACTCCACCCCCAGGCCAGCCCTTTATGCCAGTGTGCCAAGCCCCTTAGTAGACCACAAGCTAAACATGAGCCAACAGTGTAATGCAGCAGCTAAAAAATCAATACGATCCTAGGCTGCATCAACTGGAGTGTAGTGTCTAGGTCAAGAGAAGGCATAGTGCCACTCTAGTCTGCTTTGGTCAGACCTCACCTGGAATACTGTTTCCAATTCTGGGCACCACAAATCAAAAGGGATATTGACAAGCTGGAGCATGTCCAGGGGAGGGTGACCAAAATGGTGAAGGGTCTGGAAGCCATAAAGCCCTATGAGGAGTGGCTTAGGGAGTTGGGGATGCCTAGCCTGGGGAAGAGGAGGTAAAAATGGGACATGATAGCCAGCTTTAAATATTTGAAGGGGTGTCATATTGAGCATGGAGCAAGCTTGTTTGCTGCTGCTGCAGAGAATAGGACACAGAGCAGTGGATGCAAACTACAGGAAAATAAATCCCACCTGAACATTACAAAGAACATCCTGGCAGTAAGAGCTGTTTGACAATGGTGTATGCTGTTTTAGAATGTGGTGGAGTCTCATTTTTTGGAAGTTTTAAAACAGAGGTTGAATGGCCATCTGTTGGGATTGCTTGGATTGTGTCTTCCTGCATGGCAGAATGGGGTTGAATTGGATGGCCCTTGGGGTCTCTGCCAACTCTTTCTATGTTCCTATCAGGGATTCTAGCACCTCAGGGTCTCCTGGCTCTTGATTGACAGTGCTTCAGTTGTGGACATGCTTCTATCACTTTTGGTGTATCCATGCTGCCAATTTGTAGCTGCCACCGTTGCACCTTACAGAAACCTGCGATTTGGAAATGGGGTTCAGGGGTGTGTGTGTGAGAGCTTGCTAGCAGAGAATTCCAAGTTTTAAGGTTTTCTCTGAGACCCACCATCATAACAGGCACGTTTGGTGAGGACTCAGGAGGACTCAGGAGGCAGGACCTTTTTGGTGGTTGCTCCCAAGCTGTGAAACTCCCTCCCACTGGAGGTTTGGTTGGTGCTCTGCCTGCTGTCTTTCCACTGATAGGTCTAAGTCTTCAGTTCTTAAATGACACATCAAATGGGTGCTTCCAGTGAGGTGTGCTGTGCTTTTTTAATCTTTGTACTTTTCAATTACATTTTAAGTGTGATTTAAGTCCTCCACATTCTCTGGGGTTAGGGGCACAGGATCCCTGTGAAAGTGGGGGGAAAACGCATGCCAGGGGGGCATTCAGAGCCCTCTCTATGGGCATGCGGTACCGTTTTCTAGGTCCTAGGTCCTCCAGTGCATCTCTGTGGTTAGTGTCTGCTGGACGTTGACCATAGAATTGTGCTGGAGGACCTACAAATGCCTAGAGAAGTGCTCTCTCTAGGAATCTCTAGGTCCTCCAGTGCGACTTTTAGCAGAAATTGACCATAGAGTCATGCTGGAGGACCTAGATATTCCTAGAGAGAAAATCCGTGAATAACCAAATCTGCAAAAGTCAAATCCACAAATGTGGAGAGCTGACTATAATTTTAACTTCCGTGCTTTCTAAATTGAATTGTTTGTTAATTAAAAAAAACCTTTCTAAAATAACATTTTAGCTGACTTTGTTTTAGGTTGTTCTAAGGCACTTTGGGTTCCATGCCAAGAGGAAGGTGGAATATAAATTAAGTCACCAAACTCGAAATCTCAGCATTCACAGGATAGAACCTATAGCAATGAAAGTGATAAATGAAGCTGCTTTGATATGAAACTGCTGTAACAGCGTAGTGTGGATACACACCTAATCAGTCTCCAGAAACATTAAATTTTGGCTGTCAAATCTGTCTGCTTAAAATAGTGTATAGCCTAATTGGAGAATTTCAGTTCTACCTAAAACTAGCAGTCTTGTGGTACCCATTGTCCTCTGCCTACAAAGAGGCCCATGACCACATAGGAATGGAGGCATATTGGATTGCAAGAGAAGGGTCCTTGTTGAGATAGAAATGGACTTTAAATTTCCTGGTCTTTGCAACTCTCCCAACAGCCACATGGCCAGGAGGAGGGGGGCCCAGCCTTCAAAAGATACCCTCCACTTACCATCTTAACTAAGGACAGAAACATCCAAATGCAAGCATCTTACTAACATCTCCATTTTTTTTTCTCCTGTTTGGTTTGTAACATCTTGCCTGACGAAGAAGCCCATGGAGTTTTGAAAGCTTGCAACAAGTCTATTGTGCATTTTGCTTGGCCAATAAAGGTATCACTGTTTGGTGGATTTTTGTTTGAATTTGCTAAATGGCCAACACAGCTACCGCCGCATGTTTTGTGGTACCCTAATGCGGGATGATAATTGTGGTGCCCTTTAGAGGTTGGCGGACTGTCGCTCCCAGCATTCTGCACTATGGCTTTGCCGGCTAGGGTTGCTGGGGATTCATAGAATCATAAAGTTGGAAGATACCCCAAGGGCTATC